CTTTAATTCTTAATTTTAAATAATTTAAAAACTACTTTAATTCTTAATTTTACTTTGTTTATATTTAAAAATTAAAATAATTAATAAATTTTCCCATTTAATTAGTCCCACCTATCATTTAATAAAATTAAATAAAAGTTAATTAATTCTTCCATGAATTAAGAAATAATTTTATTAATTGAAAATTGAAGTTGAAGGACGTTTTCGATACTTTTCGAAGTTCAAGGATGAATTGGTTAAAAAATAAAAGTTGAGGGACCAATTTAGGTATTTAACCTAAAAAAATATGTTAGCTAACGCCAGCATCACCACCAATTAATCCTTAAATAGAAAAAGTTGAAAGTTGACATCCTTAAATAGAAAAAAAAAAAAATTGAAAGTTGACATTCTTATTTAGAAAATGACAAAATTAACATTCTTAAATAGAAAAAAGTGCAAAGTTGGAATCCTTATTTGCACCTTCACTGGTTGCCTTGGACAATAGTTTTGTCTCATTTTACCATTTGTGCCCATTATCATTGCTTATAGGTGTAAGAACTGTAGCTTTTTAAATACAAATTCAGTTCCAAAAACAATACTTATAGATATACTTAACATTATATTTAAAGACTAATTTGAATCAAATGCACTTCAGGTTTACATGTCATGTATTTCTTCTTGTGTTACTGCTTCAGGAGAGCCAAATAGTGCTTGAATTATTTGAGGATTTGAATGTGCAGCATCTTAGTTTTTCTATTTTTAATTATATAATGAGAGGCGACTCTCTCTTATTTCTGAACTCATCTCACCCATATACTATATGATTTGAAAAACTAAATATCTTTTACTTTTACTAAAACAAGATTATTATTAAACTACTTAAATCGTTGGCATGCAACTTTCTGGTGGCCTTCTTGAAAAGCTGTCTTATGCAAGTAAATTTACACCAACTCTATTTATAATGATTATTATTTATTATGCAATTGTGTATAGTTAATGGTTAAAATGAATTTTTGCTGGAGATGATATTTAACCTTTAAGTCTGCCCAATGGCAGTAGTAGTAGTTTACATTAAATGTTTAACCAATTGTCAAAACAACTTTAAACTCAAGGAATTTAAATCAGTGCAAAGATAAGAAAATAATTATTTGCTAAACTTTAAATTACTTTCGCAATTTCAACCTATTAGCCAAATTTTAAAAGAAAAGCTCAACTATGCTCGGATTCAAACCAAACTCAAATAAGAAATAACTATCAAATTAAGTAACTAAATATTAACATTGTTCTGAACAAAATAAGCTGCAACCAGATTCTTCCCTAAGCAACACTACATAGAAAATGTATAGCTGCCTACTTCTTATTACTGTTATTTTGTAACCTTCAGTTTCTTTGCAAAACATAACAAATAAATTTTAAGAATCAATGAAGACTAGATCCCTTTTGTAACCTTGAGATAATTCATTGAGTTCTTAATACCACTTTTTAAAGTTATAATTTGAGACTTTCAACTTAAAAATGCCACATATAAAATATTAGGGTATACCTTCCAAAGCTATGGGAAAATTTTATAATACTTCTTTTAATAGAAAGTTAAAACTAACTAAATCACATATCGCAGTTGAACATTGGTCTCATTGGTGTTATTTCTTTTTGTTTGGTTCTTCAAGAAAAAGAAAAAGAAAAAAAAAAAAACCATAGTTGGATTAGATATGGACCTGAAAGTCACTTATTTCTTGGATAAAAGGCTCCAGAATTGGTACCTAACATTGGGCCTATCACCAGGCCTATTCAGCAGCTTTTTAAATTGCTGATCTAGGCCCATCAATTTTTTGAACTTCTCTGGAAAAGGCCTGTCATTTTAATACTCGACCTGCAGGCCCTCCACTGCCGTCCCTGGCTACCATGACGCCGTTAAATCCGGTGTTTGAATTTCCTCCTGCAATATCCGCGCGCCAGCGCCGCCGTCAATCCTCAGTAATTTTCGATTATGAATCGGAGTTTGGAAATAATGAAGATACGTCATTATTTTAGATGCAATCTCCAAACTGTTGCTGGTGAACTCCGTGGAGTTACGCATTACATTTCCGATATACCTGGCCAGAGCGGTCTCGTTTGCGACCTTCTTTAGCCCATCCAAACAAATTTTCTGATAGGTAACGGCGGCGTTCAGCCACACCCTGATGTCGTTGACCGTATCAGTGGACAACACCACCTTTCCCTGACTCATTTGCACGGAAGCAAAGGATTTGATGATATTACCAATGGCATCTTTATTAAGGTCTCTACAAACATCCAATGCCCCGTGCAAGACAGCATCGGTACGTTCCAAACTCACAATACTTTTTGGAGAAAGAAGAGAAGAGATGTTCGCTAACTCATTGAGCGAAACCTGCATGAATTGATACATTATAAAAAACAGTGATCAATATACATTCAGATAAACATTCTGCACAACATATTTATAAAAAAAAAAATATCATTTTTTGATCTGAAATTATAAATAAACAAATTTAAACATACAATCATACATATAAAATATATGAATCA